TGAGTTTTCACAAGGTGAAACAGCCTTGTGAGGGATTTGGGGTGTGCACACCCCTAATGTTCCAACATAAAAACTTAATCATTGTGAAAGGGTTCTCCCTTTCCTTCTACTTCTCTGTGTGGAATCTGGCAGTTGAATATTTCCCTGCAAGGAGGGAGCATCCTGCAGCAGCTTCAGTTCCAACTGCCCCTTCTATTTTCTTTTCTTCCTTCTTAATCATTGTGAAAGGGTTCTCCCTTTCCTTCTACTTCTCTGTGTGGAATCTGGCAGTTGAATATTTCCCTGCAAGGAGGGAGCATCCTGCAGCAGCTTCAGTTCCAACTGCCCCTTCTTTTTCCTGTTCTTCCTTTGAGTTTGCCATTCTTCAGTAAGCACCTCAGTTATTAATTCCACAGTGGAGTTTTGGATTTTATGGGGAGTGTTGTCTATGTTGCTTCTAGCACAATCTCCTTGTTTGCCCTCCACTACCTGTTCCAGAACAATCTTGTGGGGAATGTTAGGTTCATTAACCTCTTCAATAATACTTGGGAGCTTAGGACAGATTGCCATATCATTTTCACCAATGATAGTTGCCTGCTCATTATTCTTTCTGAGATCCTGTTCCAAGGCACCAGAAGCTCCCTGAGTAGGCAAGCTTTTAAAAGCTGATTTTCTATTTGGTGGATGCAGCCTATAGCATTTATCCACATTGTGTCCAAACATCCTGCAGTGAGGGCAGAATAAAGGTTTTTGTTCCATAATAATGCTTTGCCAAAACCCTTCTTCAGTTGTTCCAATCCAGACCCTCTTAACTTCTGGCAAAGTGATATCTCTTTCCACTAGCACTATAGCACCTGCTGGTCTAGCCAAATTGTAAGTTGGGGCATCAACTTTTAAAGGACAACCAAGCACCCTTCCAATATTAAACAAAAGATTTTGATGGTAATATTGAATAGGGAGGTTAGGAAATTTAAACCAAATTGGGACAATTGGGGGTTCTTTGCTTGGATCAAATTCTGGGATCCATTTTAGTAATTTCATGGGGGTTCCAGCAATTAAGAGAGTTTGTTTAGAAAAAACTTTAGCATAATCCTCCTCATTAGACATCTTGATTAATAGGTGTCTACCATCCATTAAGCCCAGCTGCCAAGCACCAGTGAGTTGGAGTTCCTCAAAGAATTTTCTAACAAAATTCATTTTTGGATGGCCAAATTGAAACTTGCCAATTAAGGTGAACTTGATTGAATCCTTCAGAGACTGCATCTCCCCAGGAGTAAATATTACAGCAGGTTCTCCCTCTTTGTTTCCAATAGGAGAAATATAAGGGCAGGAGGTCTTGCCAACTGCTGCATCATGCAGGGCTTGGGGGAAAACTAGATGGTCATAAGTTTTGGGCAAGTTTTGCCCTCTACCAACAATCCCAGCATAAGTGGCTTGGGTCCACTGAGCATTAACTTCCACATTAATGGGGCTGAACTCCATTAAAAAAACAGAAAAAAAAACAGAAGTCAGAGGACCTAGAACCAGAGAGAGAAACCTCAATGGAGCAGTAAAATTCCACTGCAGTCACAAGCAGTCAAAGGGACAGCTAGCACCCCACCCAGCAGCAGAGCAAAACAAACACCCACAAAAGGAGGAAGCCAGCCACCAGATAAGCCAGACCACCTGTCCTAATGGGGAGCCACAGCAAGGGAGCAGCAGAGAAAAACTCAATGGAACAGTAAAAGAAAAAGTAACCACAGGAAGCCCTCCACCACCACCAAAGAAGACAGCAGAGAAGTAACCAGCACAAAACACCACCTCAGAGAACCAAAGTCGCCAGCAGCCACCACTCACCATCCTTCCAAAACCCTAGCAGAGCACCTCCAAACCCAGCCGCCAAACATCAGACAAATCAATTTTGTGGTTCGGTCAATGACCTACATCCGCAGTAAGGCATCGATCTGTATACTGTTACATAACTATAAAAAAAGAACAATACAACTCCCATTTCTCCCTCCCATTTCTCCCTTTGGTGATAATAAGAATTTCTCAACTAATAAATATAAATTGAATACGTTTCCACTCTTCCTCTCTTTTCATATTTGCTAAAAACCGAATGGCAGATCACTCTCTTCTGACCCCGCATTTGAACAATATACCAAAAGCAGACATAAGAACCCATAAATTCATTCTCAGTTCGCATTTGAACAATACGAAAAATCGTTAAAGCAGACATAAGAACACATAAAACAGACATTTGAACCCATATAGCAGGCCTAAGAACCCGTAAAACAGACATTTGAACAAAATGAAAAATCCATTCTCAGTTCGCAGGTTTGCTAAGAACCAATACAGCTCCCAACCATTGGTGAAAGCCTTTAGCACCAATTTAATACCCCTCGATATAGGCATCAAAGTTATAATTTGATGCCAAGAAAATTCAATTGCAGAAAACATGATTTTGAGTGAAGGTGAATGGATGGAACTTAATATGAAAATACCATTCTTGCATCTAATAATATGAAAAACAAAACCTCGCATATGCGTATGAACCCTAAACCAAAAATAGGTAACTCCCCAATGATATAACCATTGCCTCATATAAAAGCAAACATTGCATTTTCTTGTATAAGCATATGCATATGAACCCTAAACCCTATAATCATTACCATTTTTAAAATAAAACGCAAGATAAAAGTATGAAATCCTATCAATGACAAGTTAGATATATGTTTGAAACATTAGAATTACACGCCAGTATGCTTTCATAGAAGAATAAACAATTTTGTAATGCATTTTCATGAACCAAGTCATAACATTTATTGTATAACCAAATCAACAATTGATTATTTCAAATTACTGCATAACAGAAATTCTTGCAAATTTTCCACCACACAAACAACAGCTAAACAATTATATAACTTCATCAATTTACTTAGAACCGGAGCCGATACCTCCCATCAAACAAACAGAG